TGAAAAGGAATTTAGTCTTGCCTTCACCCGCACAAATCTCAGTGGAGATTTTTCCGGGCACACTGTATCTGGAACGAAAGGGGTTTCAGGGATGGACAGGTCCGTCAGGGGATGGAGATTGGCCAAGGGCAATGCTCGGGTTAAAGAAGTCAGGACGAGGCGCAGGCCTGACAGGAGGGGTCTTCGATGGAGGTGGAAGTCAGTTCTTGATCCGGTGGGCCAGGAGGAGGACTGGGAGAAGACTTTCCAGGGTGTCCCAAAGCCCAAGAAGACCGAGGAGAAGCAAACCCAACCCACAAACCTTCAAAAATTTTTTTTTTTTTTTTAATATTATTTCAGAAACATACAATACAAGTAACAAGGAGAAAGTATACAGTGTGAGAGTAGAAAAAAATCTATGTACATGATTGTTTATATGGTTATTACAAGGTGGATTAATAGTGAGGCATATTTACATTTTATATACAAGATTATTGGTTTTAGTGTATGAGGGTATATCTATGGTTAATTGGTGCATGGTACATTAACAGGTGGTGTTGAATGTGCATGTTTATGGGTAGGCGAATGTTGAAAAGGTGTTTTGGGGGGATTCTGTTTAGAGGGTTAAAAGGTAATGGATGTGAGTTGTTGTAGCTAGTGCGATTTTCAAATGTAGGTGTAGAATGGGAGTTGTAAGAGGAGGTTTTATAGATTGGGCTCGTATCTGACTAATCAGATTCTGAGGTGCTTGCTTCGGAGTCAGTCTGGGGTGGTTTGTTTGAGGGTGAGAATCTTCCACAGCCGTGCGCGAAGGCGAGCACTGCCCTCCATATTTTCTTGTTGGAAAATAATATTTTGGTAGTGTTGGGAATGTGCCCTATTAGTTTCACACAGTTAGAGAATAGTATGGATCTGTGGTTATCTAAAGGCGGACATTCTAGGAAAATGTGTTCCGTTGTCTCGGGTGGTCCGCCACAGTGTCTACATGATGATCTGTCGTGTTTAGATTTACTGTGTTTGTTAGCACCTATCCAAGTGTGGCCTGTGATGAAACCCGTGGTGATGGCTGTGTCAGGTGTTATATGTTTGTGGGTGGTTTTGAGGGAAATGGGTGTCAAGCCAAGGTTGTTGAGTAGAGTGGGGTTATAGGTCTTGAATTTGTTTTCCCAGGCTTCCCATTGTTTGGATGAGAGGAAGTTATTTTTGTTTTTTTCGAGGCCAGTTTGTATTTGGGGTTAGTGAGATTTGTAGCTACTCCTATCTTTGCTAGAGCATCGGCTCGGCAGTTGCCCTCGATGCCAGAGTGTCCCCTTACCCAGTGGAGTGTTATTTTGCGTGTGGGAAGTAGGTCGTATAATAGTATCTGACATTTGTGGACAATGGGGTGTAAGCATCTGTGCCTTGCAAGGGTGCATAAGAGGGATAGGCAATCTGAAAAAATGCCTATTGACAAGTTGTGATCCATGGTACTGATGTCTTTTAGTGCTGTAAGTAAAGCGAAGCTTTCTGCCTGAAATACTGTGCAGTGTTTGGATAAGGATAGGGAAGATTCTAGGCAGGGGGTGGAGGGTAGGGATGAAGTTCTAAAAATTCCTGAGCCAGCCCCGGAAGAGGTTTTGGAGCCATCAGTGTAGTATGATATATCCGGGGTGGACTCCGGAATCGGGAGGTGAGAGAGGTCGCGGAGAAGGTGTGGTTGCGGGTAACTATAAGGAGGTGGGGGGTGTTCAACCTTAAAGGGGAGGGAATGGGAGGGTTTGAAAAGAGAGGAGTTTTAGTTTATGGTCAATAGGTAGGACTCGTAAGAGGGCAAACGAGGCGAGGGTGGGCACTGTGCGAAATCCGTGTATTGCATTAATACAGAATTTGCGCTGAGTGGAACGTAGACGGCTTCTGCCTGCGATGGTGTCTGCTGCTTCAGCCCAAATTGGTGCTGCGTATGTCAGTATTTGTTCAATAACGGAGTGGTAAAATAATTTTCTAGCCCTATAACTGAAACCATAATAGTTGTTTGCACAGGAGCGAAGTCGGGGGAAGAGTTTGAGGATTTTGTCGCAAATTTTGTTGAGGTGAGGAGAGAAGGAGAAGCGAGAGTTAAAATTTACACCTAGGATGGTCATGTCTTCGACGCATGGAATAGTGGAGTTCTGAATGTGTATTGTAGGTTCGTTGCAGAAAATGGGGAGTATTGAAGATTTGTTAGGGGATAGAGTGAGTTTGTGTTGTCCAGGCACCATTCGATAATAAGGTTAATGGATATTTGTGCAATATTTTAAAAGTTATTTGGGTCTCCATGTATGACGAGTTGCAGATCATCGGCAAAAGCCTGAGCATGTACACCGGGTGGGAATGGAAGTGATAGAATTGGGCCGAAGAAGATATTCCAAAGGATGGGACCGCTCTTTGAACCCTGGGCACATCCTCTCTTTGGAGAAGTTGTGCAAGAAAAACCCCTGTACTGTAGCGTAACTTGGCGGTTGTTGAGGAAAGAGGAGTAAATTGAAATATAAGATGGGGAGAGGCCTATATTAGAAAGTCTGGATATTAGTGCCGGGTGACAGAGGTGGTCAAACGCGGATTTTATGTCAAGGTTAATCAGTAGACAGCATTGGTGGCTAGTTATAGCATTGGAGATTTGAGTTTTTAAGTTAAAGAGGGCATCAGTGGGTGATACCCCTCTACGGAAGCCAAATTGGAGGGGATTAAGAAGATTGTTGTTTTCAAGTAGATGGGATAAACGGTGGCAGAGGAGACTCTCAAATATTTTGCTGAAGGCAGAAAGAAGGGTTATTGGGCGGTGGCTGGAAGTGAAATCACCATCTGAGTGCGGTTTGGGGATGAGTGCGAGTCTACCTATTTTCCAAGCAGTGGGGAAGTGTCCGAGGGTTAGGCAAGAATTGTATAGGAGCAAAAAGAAGTCATGGAATGAAGAGACCATCCACTTGGCAAATTTGCCAGGGATATGGTCTGGGCCCGGTGCTTTCCTGGGTTTTAGGGAGGAGCATGCAATGCGTAATTCGACTGAAGTAAAAGGTGGGTCAGGGTGGGATATAGGATGATGACGGGGTGTTGAATAGTGGAAGTGTGCCGGTCTAGTATCTGGGGGTGGATTGGAGAAGAAGGTATTTAGTATGGAGTTGAGATATTTCGGGACTGAGTGGGAGAGGAGGTTCTTTTCAAATGAGGTGGAAGAGAGGGGGTTGGGGTTCTGGGAGCCTTTCTTAATGAATTTGTGTAGGCTTCCCCAAGGGTCGTTTACGAAGGACCCGCTGAACATTCTGAATTCCCTTCTTTTGGCTTTTTTGCATTCTCTGTAGAACCAAGCTCTCATGTGGAGGAAATCTTTGTGGGCCTGATCTCTGTTGGGTGGGGGGTTGAGGGATTTGTATAATCTACAAAGTTTTTTTGTTTCCCTTTTTAACTGCTGTAGAAATGGTGACCACCATGTAGCTGGGGCAGGGTGACTAGGTTTGTTGGGTAACTGAGTAGGATTATCTGTGCATGCGTCGGAGATGGAGGTGTGTAATTTTTCTATTACCGTGTCTAGGTCGGAGGGTGAGGAGCTAGAGATGAGGTTTTTGTAAATGTCCCCTGAAGGGGAGAGGAGAGGGGAAAGACTTCTAAATAGAGAGCTTGAAAAAGGTTGTCTTGAAAAACTATTTTTTTATTGATTTTTTTTTTGGCGATGACAACTCCTTTATATAGAGATGTCCTCTGGCGGAACTGTCCTCTATCAAGGAGTATGTTCTACTGCAAAATACAGGAGTCAACATCCCTTCATTGGTATCTGAACCAAAAGTCTGGAGCTATTTGGAATGTGGGATGAACCGACAGGCAGAAACCTGTATTTACAAGCTTAAAACTGGCAGCTAAACAAGACTGCTCCTCTTCCAGGATGGTGTCAAGACACAACGTACCATCTACAGGACCAAAGAGACCTCACCAGACCACCTCTTGGAATGTATGGAAGCCTCAAGACAGGACCTATATCCCAACCCTACCAAGATTGTGAATTTGATCAATGAATATAGTCTCCATGACTTTGTATAATTATACAATGGGAGATAATAATAAAATAAATGTTCTACTTTATAATACAATAAATATTTACTTTGTATAAATGTGAAATTTCATAAGTGGGCTTCGCTAAAAACTTTCATTAGTATGCATCAATTTTAAACAATTATGTAAAACAAGATAGAGCATTTTTTGCCTAACATCAAAATATGTAACTTGGGTATTTTAATTTTTTATTAATTAAATACAAAAATTAAAACAGATTTAATACACTTTTTATTTAGTTATATTTTTATTTATATGTATTTATTCAATACTTTTTTCTGAAGGTGGTAACAAGGCTGTTACCGAAACGTCACACACTATTTATGTATTTGGTCTTATTAGCTTGTGGTTATAAACAAGTGTAATTTATTACCTTGGGTTAAATTGTGACAGGATAAATGAGTGGAACCGCGGCAACAGCACGGAGCAATTTACTGTAGGGTCGAGCAAGACTCCTGCACCAAACCAACAGATTATTAGTGAAAACCTACTGATTATACAGACTTTGTATGTCTTCTTCTTTCTTATCTCCACTCAATCATATTAAGGTATCAAGCTTGTAAAGCATGTTGATGGTGTCTGCTGGGGATGAGTAGAGCTCATCAATGGATGAGTCAATACAGTCAATGTGTTTTGGGGTTGTAGGCTGACACTTAGTACATAGTGGGAAAACGACTGTGTATATGGATTGTTTCTATACTTCAAGAGTTGATTAAAATTCAAATATATAATCCTTTGCTAGAAATTTTAGATGATAAAGTAAACGTGTAAGGATGAGTATCTTTTATTAAACGTTTTTCAAGCTTTCGGGATAACGCCCTTCTACAGGTAAATTGATACAAAATTTTGTATGTATATTGTATTACCTGTAGAAGGGAGTTATCCCGAAAGCTCGAAAAATGTTTAATTAAAAAAGATACTCATCCTTAGATATTTATTTTATCATCTAAAAAGATAATAGTCTACAGCACCCGGTGTTCCCAGGTGGTCACCCTCCCAAGTACTGACCGGGCCCGACATTGCTTAACTTCGGTGATTGGACAAGAATCGGGCCCGGTCAGTACTTGGGAGGGTGACCACCTGGGAACACCGGGTGCTGTAGACTATTACCTTTATAATATAAAGTTAATTACAATCAAAATTCTCAATTTAAGACCTATTAGCAAGGGAACTAGACATTTTTGGTTTTAAATCTAATGTCATTGCCAATTAGTTGTGTTATTATTTTCTTAAATCAAGTTAAAAGATGCTAAGTGAATTTACTTTCATCTCCATGTAGTGACATTGAGGAAGTCAGCCATTATGAAATGACATTTCACCTCGTTCTCTGCACAATTTTTGTAACTTATCAATCTATCAAATGTCTGGTAATAAAGTAGAACCTCCATTAGAGGACACCTCTCTACAAAGGACAGTTTTCACTAGTAAAATTGCCATTTTTACTATTTATCAATTCTTCTGCAAGATAACACCTCTCTACAAAGAAGAGTTTTCAATAGCAAAATTGCCATTTTTACTATTTAGCAACTCTTTGGTAAGAGGACACCTCTGGCTCTGCAACTAGGTGTTGTCCTTTACAGGGAGGTAGTTCTACTGTAATAGCCAATTTACACAACTAGTAAAGAGTAAAACTTCCCATATCTGATTGAGTCTTTGTAATAACACTACAATGACTTGACACTACCAACAGGATGTCCAGTGCTCACTCTCAGTTGTAATTTTGTCTGTTGAAAAGTGAGAGCTTGAAAGCTGGTGGTGTTTTATGAAGAAACTTATTTTAAAATGTTTTGAACTTTTTAGAAATTACTGTAATTTCCTTATACAGTTAAAACCTCCTTGAGAGGATACATCTATTTAAAAGACCAGTTTTAATCACCAAAATTACCGTTTTTTATTATTCAGCAACTCCCCAACTCCGCCTTTGCCAGTCCCAAGCCCGGATGAAAAAGGAGGAGGGGGAGTAGTAACAAACTCACTAAAAAACCTGGGCTCAGCTGGCCATGCTGATAGTACCCTGTAAGGACTCCTAATCCAGGGATACAGGATGAGCAGCGTTTGTACTCCATGTTAGGAGCGGCTGCACATGGCGTCTGTTCCTCATGTCAGAGGTGGCCATTTATTTTAGAGCTAAGTCGGCCTGCCACTGAGTAGTGCTCCCAGTCTTGATGACAAAGGCATTCTACTTCACCCAGTCATGATGGTTGTCAAACAAACACCATCAAGGGTCACAACTTGATACCCTAATATGATTGAGTGGAGATAAGAAAGAAGAAGAAGAAGAAGCAACTCTCCGTTAAGAGGACACCTCTCCCTAAAGGGGGCCTAATTGCAGAGCCAAAGTGTCCTTTTGAGAGAGGTGTCCTCTTACTGGAGCGTTGCAAAATAGTAAAAATGCTAATTTTGCAAATGAAAAGTGTCCTTTATAGAGAGGTGTCCTCTTATGTAGGTTCTACTGTATAATGAGATTGGGGGAATAGAATGTGTGTGCTTTTGTCATTAAATGGCAGGCCGACTTAGCTCCAAAAGAAATGGCCACCTATGACGTGAGGAACAAACACCATGTGCAACCACTCCTAACAAGGAGTACAGACTCATCCTGTATCCTTGGATCTGGAACCCTTAGAGGGTACTAACAGCCGGGCCAGCTGAGCCCAGGTTTTTTAGTGAGATTGTTACTGCTTCCCCTCCTCCTTTTTCATTCGAGCTTGGGACCGGCAAAGGTGAAGTTGACTACGGAAATAAATCATGAGAGCAATCGAGATATAATCAATTTCCTTATTTTTATTCTTACAACAGAGAGCATGGATATATATATACGAGGTGTGTTCAAAAAGTATTGCGACTTTTAAATTTTCGCGGGTTACGTATATTCGAATTTCGATCTTTTTGTGGCTTTATGTTGGTACTCATGTCTCTCACTTATGCCGACAAGCTCGGCTATATTTTGAATGTTCACTTAATTGTTTACAGCTGCTTTGCTTGCAGGTGTTTTGGATCGTCTTCGATTTTTACCTATTAAAAAAAATGGTTCAAAGAACCTGTATCAAATTTTGTGTGAAAAACGAAATTAAGTGTGCGGATGCATTCCGAATGTTGACTGTGGCATACGGAGAAGCTACCTTGGACCGAAGCAACGTTTATCGGTGGTACAAAATGTTTTCAGAAGGCCGAGAAGATGTGAACGACGAAGAGCGTGCCGGACACCCGAGCACTTCAACAACAGACAAAAAAATTAATGAAGTGGAGAAAATGATATTGGCCAATCGTCGAATCACCGTTAGAGAAGTTGCTGAGGACCTAAACATATCGATTGGCTCGTGCCATTCGATTTTTATCAATGATTTGGGCATGAGACGGGTCGCCGCGAAATTCGTACCAAAATTGCTCAATTGCGACCAAAAAACAGCATCGCATGAACATTGCTAATGAGATGTTGGACTCTGTCCGTGACGACCCAAATTTGCTCCAGAGGGTCATAACTGGTGACGAAGCGTGGGTTTATGGTTATGACGTGGAAACCAAAGCTCAATCATCTCAATGGAAGCTGCCGCACGAACCAAGACCGAAAAAAGCGCGCCAAGTTCGGTCGAATGTGAAAGTTTTGCTGACAGTTTTCTTCGATTGCAGGGGCGTGGTGCATCATGAGTTCTTGCCACAGGGTAGAACGGTCAATAAGGAATATTACCTGCAAGTTATGCACAATTTGCGCGAAGCAATCCGCCAGAAACGCCCAGATTTGTGGAAGAACAAAAATTGGCTTTTGCACCACGATAACGCCCCTGCTCACACATCGTTGCTTGTGCGCGACTTTTTGGCCAAAAACCACACACTAATGATGCCGTAGCCACCGTATTCCCCAGATCTGCCCCCTGTGACTTTTTCTTGTTCCCTAAACTGAAGAGGCCCATGAAAAGATGACGTTACGCTACGCTTGACGAGATAAAGACGGCATCGAAGGAGGAGCTGAAAAAGATTTTAAAAAATGATTTTTTGAAGTGCTTCGAAGATTGGAAAAACCATTGGCACAAGTGTATAATATCTCATGGGGATTACTTTGAAGGGGACAAAATAGGTATTCATGAATAAATAAATAATTTGTGAAAAAACACAAAAGTCGCGATACATTTTGAACACACCTCGTATGTAGTTTTACTTTATTTAAGGGATGATGTCCCGAAGTGTCCTTTTACAGGAGAGCTGCTAATTACTAAAACTGGAAAATTGGACAATGAAAACTGTCCTTTGTAGAGAGGTGTCCTCTCATGGAGATTTGTTGCACTGTATTGGCCTGCTGCTGTCACAATTGGACAACAAATCTTTGTTTATGTTCTCTCCCTTCGTTATCAAAGGTTAATGATCACAACCAGGTATAGATGGATACAAAACAGAATAGAGATACAGTTAAACCTGTCTATAGCTCCCTCTCTAGATAGCGCCTCCCTCTCTATAGCGCCCAATTTTAAATACGTGGTTCTTGGTAGGCTGATACCCTCCCCCCAGATAGCAAGTTCTATGGGATTGAGGTTAGGAGGATCTTGCTGGCCATTCCTTCCTGTACATGTCTTCGTATTCCAGATATTCCTTAACCAGACGGCTCTGTGTGTGAGGCGCATTATCATCCATAAACAACCTCCCAGAAAAGCCAGACATGGGATTCTAGGTTCTCGCCCCGGTATCGCTGGGCATTCAGAATCCTGTCGCCAAACACATGAAGTGGCGTGCGGCCATTTGTCATGATCCCTACCCAGACCATCACACCTCTTCTGCCATAAGCATCATTTTCTACAATGTTTATGGGCTGGTAACGTATTACCCTTTCTCTCTTGTGTGTACAACCTGTAACCCCAAACCACATCATTGACTGTATTGGCTAATCAATAGATGAGCTCTACCCATCTCCATCATCAAGCTTGATACTCTAATATATTTTTCTTCTTCTTTCTTATCTCCACTCAATCATATTAGGGTATCAAGCTTGTAAAGGTGACAACCATCATGACTGGGTGAAGTAGAATGCGTCTGTCTTTGTCATTAAGACTGGGAGAACTACTCATTGGCAGGCCGACTTAGCTCCAAAAGAAATGGCCGCCTCTGACATGAGGAACAGACGCTATGTGCAGCCGCTCCTAACATGGAGTACAGACGCTGCTCATCCTGTATCCCTGGATTAGGAGCCCTTACAGGGTACTATCAGCCGGGCCAGCTGAGCCCAGGTTTTTTACCGAGCTTGTTACTGCTCCCTCTCCTCCTTTTTCGTCGGGCTTGGGACCGGCAAAGGCGGAGTTTTACCCTAATATGATTGATTGGAGATAAGAAAGAAGGGATCATTATTCAGGCTGAACCTGGAATCGTCTAAGAACAGAACCTGACTCCATTGGTCATGGCCCTAGTTATTTGTTCTCTGCACCATGCAAGGCAGCGTCTATTCTGGAGTGGAGCCAAAGGGAAGTATATTGCAGGCTTCCTAGAGTAAAGACTTTTCATTTTAGGCCTTCGTGAGACAGTTTTCCGAGATACAGTTCTGTCAATGGTCGTGACAAGCTCCAGGGAGAGTTGGCGGGCTGACATCTTTTGTGAATGCTTGGCTGTTAGAGCCAGGTATCTGTCATCACCTTGGGACAGTCCCCAGCTTTCATCCAGCGACTAGTCCCAGTAGTTTGGAATTGGTTCCAGAGACGGGATATCACGCTTTCAGACATGCTGAACAACTTGGAGACTTCCCGCTGTGGTTGCCCCATTTCGATCCTCTCGATCGCTCTTCCTCGCGATATGTCATTCAGACAGTGACTTGTAGCCATTGATTGCTTTATCCTAGGTAAGGTATCAAGTAGGAATACAATAATCCACTATAAGTGTGGTCTAATGCTAAAACATGCACACAATGCTTAAACCTTCTTTTCGAATGCAACATGTGTTCAATCTTAATTCTTGATTATATGTAATTTTTTTTAAAGAGAAAGGATAATGCACAATTTGGATTATAAACACATGGTAATAATACCAAATCCAAAAAAATAAATAAATAGTGTGTGATGTTTCAGCGTTGCTTTGACATCATCACACACTATTTATTTATTTAG